TATATATATATATTAGATGGCGTGCCCGTGCGATGCACTGGCCCAATTGTTGCTCTTTTCTTGGAAAATGACATTGTATAGCCACTCTCAAAATAATAACCGAAAATATGTATGTTCTTTGTGTGTACATATATATATATATATATATATATCGCTCGCCGAATGTAATTTTGGTGCGAGCTAAAACTTAAAAAAGCCCCTTATTTTTCTTGTTTTCTTCCTTTTAATATTTCTTTATCTATTGCTAATTACACACTTTATTCTTCTTTAAGGAAAGAAGAAAGAAAATAGATTTTTGTGTAATAATGTATAGAATCATATTTACCTGTATTGTTTTTTATCTGTTGCGTTATGTACATTTTTAATTTTTGTTAAATCGTATTACTACAATCACTTTGTAATACTTGTCGAAGTCCCACATTTTATTATAACAAAGATTATACAATACTTCAAGTACAAGTTAGAGTATTTTACATAGGTTCTACACTTTTTATTTTAAAAAATAGTTCAGCACCACCAAACTTAAAATTAATTATAAAAAGTGATTAAAAGTTCAGTTGAAAAATAAGTCGTGATGTACTTTTTCATTGTTTAAATTGAGTAATATATAGTTGCAATCTTTTATTATTTTCAATTGTGTTAATATATTGCTTTTCTTTTTTATTAAACAAAATTTGAATAAAAAATATACTCATTTTATTTCCAAATAGATGATGCAAAAATGTTTTTTTTGGTTCTTTGAAATGATACTCGTAATTTTGAATTATTGAAAAAATAATAATAAGTAAATGTTTGTTTTATTCTAGTTTAAAGACATTTTTGGATATATCATTAAAATTAAATGAATTTTTCTATCACAAATTTTTTCTAGTCTCATTTGATATGATTGAGATACTCCAGGGTGCAATACCACTTTCTTTACTATAATTATGTGTTTAGCATTTTTTAAAAATAGTTAATTTTATATTTATTATTTTAAAATTTATATAATGTTGAATTCTTTAATAAAAGCAGAGGAAGTACCCAACTAACTTTGATCATAGAGGGAGAAGTATAATTATACATACTGATATTTCGCATGCTACCTAACATATAATAAAGAAAAAAAAATTCAAATTAGTTGTCTTAATTTTTTATTTAGATTATTCTCAAATCATATTTTATAAAGGGGAATATTTTTTATATAATTTGAACAAATTTCAATATCCTTTAATAAAAAAGGAACTTGAAACTATATTTTATTCTTAAATATATTTTTCCTGATTTATAAAATGTTCCAATTGTAATTACAATTTAATGAGAATTTATATAAAATGATATCAATTGATATTAATATAAGAACATTTTAACAAAAATCTACATAAATGATTGCCACTTTTTTTTAATATTCTTTACCAAAAATATTCAGTAAATAAAACAAGTGAAATATTTTTGCTTAAGGAGATAATAGAACTATTATGTATAAATGTATGTTACCAATAAATAATTTTTCTAGTTAAAAATACTTATTGAAAAAAATACTTTTTAAACAGTGAAAGTGAGAACAGAGAAGTAATCTACTTTCAAACAAACCAAAAAGTAATAAGTAGCAGTCAAGTAGTGTATTTAAAAAAGTAAGTTAAAAGTTGAATGGGAAGTGGGGTCCACCTGAAGGATTCAATAGCTTAGGGCCACGTTACTTTTGTTTTTTTGGTCATTAGGAACTCATAGGCTACAACCAAGCTTTTGAGCCTAATGTACAAACAAACAATGCAATTCTATTTTTAAAATGACCTTAATGCCCTTGGTCGACCTACTCTTCTCTCTTCTATATAAAAGAAATATATATATAAAATAAGTATTTTTGTATATTTTATATAAAATAAGCAAATTTTAAACTCCCTGCATTTTAATTTATGTGAATTTGTTTCCTTTTTAAGTCGTGCCAAAAAGAATGCCCCCTTTTTGTATTTGAGAATAATTTATCTTTATGCAATGATTTATATCACACAAAATACTTGTGCCTCATTTTACACCAAAAATTCAAAAGTCTTCTCTGTTTTCTTAAATTTCGTACAGTCAAATAAATTTACATAAATTAAAACGGAGGGAGTATATTTTTGGAGCTATCAAATATAAATAGTTTTGGTCGTGAATGGTATTTGCCCACCAAACAACCCATATTATATAGTCCAAAATCCGTGGGCCAACCTAACCAGCAAACTTACCGGTCGTTTTTAAACCCTTTTTTACTTTTTATTAATTACTTTATGGAAGTAAATCCAAAACAGTGGGTGTTGCCTAAACTATAGGCAAATCCGCCTCTAGTTTTATTCCTTCATTTTGTTTGCCTCTCTTCTATATATACACAACCCAACATCTTGCATCCTCAAATCCACCAACCAAATTAAAAAGAGTTACATAATTCCCTTCCTGAACAATAGTTGAAATTAAGAAGAAGATGAGTGCAACAGCAGCAGCAAAGGGATCGGCATGGATTGTAGCAGCAAGTATTGGAGCAGTAGAGGCATTAAAAGATCAAGGTTTTGCAAGATGGAACTACGGTTTGAGGTCACTGCACCACTATGCTAAGACTAATTTACCTGCATCCAATACATCGGCTCGCCGATTCTCTACGGCGGTCATCTCAGCCGAGAAGTTTAGGAAAACTGAAGAGTCGTTGAACAAAGTCATGGGTTTGAGCTGTTGGGGTCCCAGTACTGTCAGATTTTAGTGTATTTATCTACTTTATATATAAAATGAATACGAAAAATATGTTTTCTCTAAAATCACTACCGCTCCCCTTAATTTGTTATGTTTGTGTCTTGTTCGACGTTGTAGCATTGATCTATAAGTGAAGAGAACATAAGATAATCTTATGCCAGTTAACCAAATTGGAATAACGAGTCGATTTAATGTTTGATTATTACTTATAACACCAATGCGCTATGCCTTTTTTCTTTGATAAATAAACTGAAAAGGGCCAAAACTGCCCCTAGACTATTCGTTTAAGTTTAAAAATATCCTCCGTCCACCTATTTTGTAAAAGTTGCCCTCACCGTTACAAATCTGGCCCACCCCTAACGTTTACTTTTTGGCCCACTCATACCCTAAAAAAAATTAGGAAAAAAAATTATTATTTATTATGTGTTAATTTCCTATTGGCTTAAATTAAAACCTCATCCCATATCCAATTATTAGCCTACTCCGTCTTAGATTTTCACCCTTCAACACCCACGGATCTCCCTCTCCATCTCAGATTTTTTGCCCTTAATTTAATTTTTAAATTAACATTTTTTATTAAATTAATTTTCTGAGTGAAATCAGGTACTCTTTGAAATTAATGTTTCATTGTACGATTTTATGGTTTAATAAGTTATTTTTCTGCCAATAGTAATGATCATTGAGCATTTACAATACTTTTTGTTGTATATTTCCTGACAACACTGCATCCAATTTTGATTATACCAATGATTTATTTGGTCTCTGCTCGGACCTCGACCTTTTTCTTCTTCATTGGCTCATCATAGTCTGAACATCCTACCATGTCCATAAATTAAGCTATTGTACGTGGATGCTCTTCAGGTTATATCAACACCGCCAATTTTAAAAAAGAGACAGTTAAATCAAGTAAAATATTTGAGATCATATGCCTGAGAATGTGAGAGAATACGACTTATTGGTGAATGTGACTGTAATAAACAATTGATTGAGCTTATTGTATGAAGCAGTAAAATGTAGTAAGAAAAATTGATGATGAATGATATTTCTGTGATGAAAAAAATAGGAGTATTGATGTGCACATTTAATATACAAAGAAATAGGAAGAGGAAGATGATTAACTATACGAGAGAGTTTTGTTTGCTTAGGAAAAAAAATGGGTGTATGAGAGTTCTAGTTGGTGGAATAATTTTTAAAAGAAAGAGGAGAAAGAAACGGAGGAAAAGGGTCTTAGAATGTGGGTGAGTTTATTTTAATTTAAGCGAGTCTTAAGTTAGGCCAATGGGACGATGACACATGGAAATTAATTAATTTTTTTTTTTGCCTAACAGGGTCTTTGAAAGTTGTACGACGTAAAGTATTGGTGATAAAAAATTTTAGTTGTCTGAAAATAAAACTTTAATGATGTTTGTAGTGATTATTCAAATAGAGTGCAAGGTCAAAAAAAGGATGAGAAGAATAAGAAAAATATGAACGCNCAAAAATCATTATTTGTTTGGATTGGGTGTTGTTGTAAATAATTCGGAATATGTTTAGGAGTTTATATCTCAATTTTGAGGGGTTTTGGTGAAGATTAGACTTGGTTTTGACTAAATTTCAGATTGAAACTCGAAGAAGAAGAAGAAGAAGAAGACATATTTCCAGAAATTGTAGATAAATTGTAGTTAAATTGTAGAATTGTAGATAAATTGTAGATAAAATGTAGATAATTGTAGATAAATTGTAGATTGGGAAGACTAAAACTTCTACAAATCTTCTACAATTATGTCAAAAATGCCAATTATGCTACAATTGAAATGGGAATTGGGATATTAAAATTCAATGTATTCATTTTGTAGATATCTTGTAGATAAATTGTAGATTATTTGTATTCTGATTGTAGATGCATTGTTTTCTGTTTTCACAAATCCAAAACGACTAAAGCTTCTACAAAATCTTCTGCAAAAAACAGTCTACACTTTATCTACAATTTTTCTAATTTTTCTACAATTTATCTACAATTTCTAGAAATATGTCTTCTTCTTCGAATTTCAATCGACTGTGTTAACCAGTAACCTTCAGCCACTGCCCAAAAAAAAAAGAAAAAAAAAAGAGGTCAATGAAAATAACGATACATTGATGTTTTGTACGTGTAAATAGAGAATTGGTAAATAAGAACTAATCTGAAGATACGGTCGCTAAGTTAAGATTTTTTGGGAAGTAAATGAGAACTAATCTGAAGATTATTAATGCTACTGTCCATCTCCAAAAGGGGGGGGGGGGGGGACGGGTAAAGATAAATGTGGGAAGATACGGTCCTAAATTAGCGTCTAATATAAATGCACCCTTAATTATATCCCTAATTTGAATTATGGTATATAAATGGTAATTTGGTATGCTGAAATGTAATTAACACAAACCTTAAACATTGAGGGTAATAAGGTTTCATATATGGTATAGGAAGGTAAAAATCCCTTATTAGAAGGGGTCAGTTGATATTGGTACTCGAGATTAGTCTTTGAATTATTAATTAGGTAATACTCCTATAAGATTTATTCCATGTCCCGTACATTTTTGACTTTCACAAAGAGGGAGTATGGTTCTGTAGTCTTAAGATTAATTTCTTCTTATATAGCAAGCAAAATTACTCTTTTATCCCTTGTCTATATATGAAAGTTTAGGATTTAGGAGAACATCTAGTATTCCATTTTTTTTCTCTTGTTTGTTTTCTTTGTCACTTGCTCTCGATTAATTTCTATGGTAAATTGACTAATAACTTTTGTTGTGTTATGAAATAATAAAAGTAGAAGAAAAATATTGCAGAGAAAGAGAGAGAGAAAGGATTCTTATTGATTTGGGGTGAATTACAATGGAATAGAACCCTCTATTTATAGGGAAAGGGTGACTTAGCCACCAAACAATGAACCCTAGAATCTCTCTAAATATAGACATTCACCATAAATAAAATTCTATTTATAACACTCCCCCTTTAATGTCTATTCAACAGATAATGTGCCTCGTTAAAACCTTAACTAAATAAAACCCAGTGGGAAAAAAATTCTAGAGAAGGAAAAAGAGTACACATATCTAACAATACGCCTTTTGGTTGCCTCGTTAAAAACCTTGCAAGGAAAACCAATGGGACAAAACCTTGTAAGGAAAAAAGAGTACAACACGTATTAAACTCCCCCTGATGAGAGCATTATTTCACATCCTTGAGCCTTCACATCCCAATCTTGTGCACTAGCTTCTTGAAGGTTGACGTCGGTAGAGATTTTGTGAACAAATCAGCCATATTATCACTTGAACGAATCTGTTGCACATTGATATTACCATTCTTTTGAAGATCATGTGTGAAAAATAACTTTGGTGAAATGTGCTTTGTCCTATCTCCTTTTATGAATCCTCCCTTCAATTGGACTATGAATGATGCATTGTCTTCATACAAAATTGTGGGTAGTTTGTCACATTTCAAACCACATTTGTCTCGAATAAGATTTATTATAGACCTCAACCACGCACACTCTCGACTTGCTTCATGAATAGCAATTATCTCAGCATGATTAGATGAAGTAGCCATAATTGATTGCTAAGTCGATCGCCAAGATATGGAAGTGCCTCCAAAGGTAAACACATAACCTGTTTGAGATCGAGCCTTGTGTGGATCGGATAAATAACCAGCATCGGCATAACCAATAAGATCGGGACTGCAATTATTGCCATAAAATAAGCCCATATCGGTAGTCCCTTTTAGATACCGCAATATGTGTTTGATTACATTCCAATGTCTCCTTGTAGGAGCAGAGCTATATCTTGCTAAGACATTGACTGAAAAAGTTATGTCAGGCCTTGTATTATTAGCAAGATACATTAGTGCACCAATTGCACTAAGATATGGTGCTTCAGGACCAAGTAGCTCTTCATTCTTTTCTTGAGGTCGGAATGGATCCTTATTCACATCAAGTGATCGAACAACCATCGGAGTACTTAATGGATGTGCTCCATCCATGTAAAACCGTTTCAATACCTTTTCTACGTAGGCAAATTGATGAACAAAAATTCCGTTTGCCAAATGTTCAATTTGCAAACCAAGACATAATTTTGTCTTTCCGAGACTTTCATTTCGAATTCCTTCTTTAAATAATCAATTGCCTTTTGGAGTTCTATAGGAGTTCCAATAAGGTTTATGTCATCAACATATACGGCAAGTACAACAAATTCCGATGTTGTTTTCTTTATAAAAACACATGGACAAATGGCATCATTTATATAACCTTCTTTTTATAAATACTCACTAAGACGATTATAACACATTCGTCCTGATTGCTTTAGACAATACAAAGATCTTTGCAATTTGATTGAAAACATTTTCCGAGACTTTGAGTTATGTGCATTAGTCATTTTAAATCCCTCGGGAATTTTCATGTATATCTCATTATCAAGTGAGCCATAAAGGTAGGCGGTAACCACATCCATTAAATTCATGTCAAGCTTTTTATGGACAGCAAAATTAATGAGATAACGGAACGTTATAGCGTCCATAACGGGTGAATATGTCTCTTCATAATCGACACCAGGCCTTTGTAAAAATCCTTATGCAACAAGGCGTGCCTTATATCTTTGTACCTCATTTTTTTCGTTCCTTTTGCGTACAAAGAACCATTTATAGCCAACAGGCTTAACACGTGTTTGGACTACAGGCCCAAAAACTTCAAGTTTTGCAAGTGTATTTAACTCTAGTTGGATTGCTTCTTGCTATTTTGGCCAATCAAGTCTTTGTCGACATTCTCCAACAGATTGAGGTTCAAGATCCTCACTTTCTTGCATAATGCTAGATGCAACATTATATGCAAAGACATAATCCACCACTATATCCAATCGATTCAAATTTGTCTCAGTATCAATTGGATTTATTGATAGTTCCTTATTTTCTTGAGTCTCAGGCTCAGTGATTTCCTCAAAAATATCAGGATTTGTTAAATCGTGGATTTCTTCATGAGACTCTTTCGTAGTGTCATCTTGATCATTTGTTTTCCTTTTTCTAGGATTTCGATCCTTAGAACCTAATGGTCTGCCACGTTTTAGGCGTGGTTTTGACTCATTAGCTATGACACTAGAAGATTGTCCAACAGGGACATCAATACGGATTGAAATATTCTCTGCAGGGATATGTGATTTTATTATCCTTTTCAGATCCGTAAATGCATTTGGCATTTGATTTGCTAT